AAAAAAGTATCCCTTCGTGTGTTTTTAGTTTAAATAAAGTTTTTAGTACGTCCATAGGCACTGTAAGATATTCTAATTTTGGTTACTCGTTCACACACCGGTGTTGTAAAAAAAAATACGGTCGAACGAGTATTTTACTGCGTTTTCTGACCCAAATTGCCTCCAAACTTCGCAATTGAAACTATTGAAAACTTATTTCTTTCTTGTTTCTGTAAAGCAATGCAAATCTCCCTGGTTTCCTTCACCCGATTTTCGTTCACTCAAAAGCAGAATTTCCGTTTGCGGAATTGGTTTATAAAATAAATGTCATTTGGTGTTATTTTATAGCACATTGCGCAAAGTTGTAATTTTTACTTATGTCATATAAATAAGAAGCGACATTTCCTTCATAAAGGTAAGCATCGTATTTCAGCAAACATCGGTCTGATTTCCTTCAATTTACGTGAATGGACATGTAGTCAGGTGAAATTGTAATTATATTATTTTGTGTATTTTTACTATTTTACATCTTTAAATTTACTTTATGGTGTTTCTGCTTTTCGATTGAAGTAATTCTATGATGGTGCTTGAAGATCTGTCGAACATTTTACGTTTTTCCGTAAATGTTTGCAGATTCTTCCTTATAAATTTGGCGCTTTTCGTTTTGTTTGTATACTCACCCAATACCAAAACCCAGAAGCGATATTTGGCCTCCTATGCCTATCGCTCCAGTCCTCGTTGTTTTTGAAGATGGCGGGTGCATGTGATTGGATTGGCAGACCACACTAGTTTTTCACCAGACCTTGACAGCATATAAATAGAAACAACATGGGAGAAAGGGCTTAGTGCAGCTATTACTCCAGCAGATTGTAAAATGGTCAACGGGGGATATGCCACCACCATTTCCGGCATTATGAAAATTATTGGAGCCATACTTGGCTTAGTCACAATGATTGTCATTGCGACTACCGTGAATGTCGCATGGGAGATAGGCGGCTATCTGCTCTTTGCCTCGATTTACGTCTGGATCATGTGTCTGCTGTTGCTTCTCCTGCACATATTCGAGGTCGATGGAAATCAAGGCATGAGGATCTTTGTAAGACAGTCTTTTAGCTTTTATGTTGTTTTTATCAAATTCATTTTGCTTTACACCTTTTTGTATTGAGCCTTAGGCAGGAACTTTATTCGAGCAGCGGACGCATATAAGTACCAAATTTAATATATTTTTAGCGGTCATTTCTTGCAAATACAAAGCATTGTTCTAAATTAGGCACAATAATCGGTATGTTGAATATTCCAAAGATTAACCGGAAGCATGTTTTCTGCAGTATAATTATTAAGGCTGCTTTTACTGAGTCATAGTATAAAAGATACAGCAAAAAGATACCTATTCTAAAGTGTAATTAGGGGACACGTTCCCTGAGTAAATAAGAGACCCTCAATCTTTAAACATATTCCTCATCTAAACAGACATAAACAATAGTTTTGATGTGCAGTGGTACAGAGTTACACTCCGCTACCCAAAAGGCGCGCATTCGCACACGTGTTAAGTTATTACTGGATGACGAGAGACTAGAAGCCAAAAATGAGGATTCCAGTCTCCTTTCTCATTTCTGGCCCAACTCTGCCAAACCAACTTAATAATTAAGTCAGCCTAGTAGTCATTCTGGT